GCACCACTGAAATAAGAAATAAAAAATATCAAAGCAGTCATGACTGCTTTATTTATTTGTTTGTAGTAAAGCTCAAAGCTACACAATGGGTTACCTGTGCTTTGCCCACCATGATATTCCATGTTGAAGTTCTCGTAAAATTTCATTGGTAGTTTTGATTTCAATAACTTATGGAGTTTCATTCACTGACTATACATAGTTTCCCTTCAATGACCAATATTTGGTGACTTAACTGGATAAATATCGTCTTTTGTTCCTTCAGCATAAAATTATACGAAACAACGGTTTGAAGTTCTTAGCGCACACACTTCTAATTATTTATAATGAATTGATTTACTTTTCTTTCATCGAAGCTTTTGTTATAAAACTTCATAAGTAATCATGAGAAAAAAAAACATATATTGTTCTTTTATCGATATACATATATATGTGGAAATAAGTTAGGTTATACCAAATTAAGCACGGTACCTTAATAGATCTCTTCAGAACATTGTAAAAGTCACTGAAACAGAACAGCTGCTACTTAAGTCAGAAAACGCAAAGCATAATTTTCAAAGACTTTGGTTCCGAATTGCTTTAGTAATCCCTTATCAATAGCTACATCAAATTTCAGCAGAATATTAATTGACTGAAGAAAGTGATCCGGGGAACCGAAACTAGTTTATTTTATTCGAGAAAGTAGACAAAGTTTTACAATGGAATGTGTGTGTGTGTAAACAATCAGGGTAAACGTTGAAATGGCTGTCATTATAAGTCTGAAATTTTCTTCGTTTGAGGTTATATATTAATTTGTATAATAGATAAAAATTCACCACCTAATTAATTAGTGGTGCTACAGAAATAAATCAGTATTTGGTTCCAGTAATAATACGGGACTTGAACCTCTAATCTGAAACGTAATTAATGAAATATTACCTGATCAAATATATTGAAGTGACCAGTTAATTTTATATTTTTAGAAACAAATTAATATTAATTTCTGATCGACTCAGCGACCCAACTGGTCAGGTTTTATCTGAGATATTAACTTCTTGTTTTAAAAAAAAATCCCGTTATAAACTTTCATTTTTACCTCTTTTTTTTAACTATTTTTGTTTGTTTTTGTTTATTTTTATAATCACTTTATAGTAATTCACGAACCTTGTAATTACATTTTAAAAGACAAGCTCTGAACCCATTTTTCTAACTCGACATCTCTGAAGGTCGCTGTTCATAATTATTTGCATTTAGCTTACAGTTGTATGTCTACCTTGTGATAAAATGAAAAACAAAAATGTGATATATTTTTGGCAGAACAGTCAAACTAAAAATGTGGACTGGACTTTTCAATAATATATTTTTTGGCAGAACGGTCAAACTCAGAATTTGGACTGGACTTTTCAATAACATTTTTGGCAAAACGGTCACACTCAGAATTTGGACTGGACTTTTCAATTATATATTTTTGGCAGAACGGTCACACAGAATTTGGACTGGACTTTTCAATACAAAAGTTCAGAATTCGTGATAAATTAAAAGGTGGAGTGACTTACGTGACTTTATGACATAGAGCTACACAATGGGCTATCTGTGGTCTGCCCTCTACGGGTATCGATACCCGGTTTTTTAGCGTTGTAAGTCAGCAGACATACCGCTGTTCTACTGGGGCAACCACACATGTATTTATTGTATTTATGTCAACTACACATCTGTTTGTTATATTTATGTCAACTACATATGCATTTATATCAACTACACGTATATTTATGGCGACCACACATGTATTTATTGGATTTATGTCAACTACACATCTGTTTGTTATATTTATGTCAACTACACGTATATTTATGGCGACCACACATGTATTTATTGGATTTATGTCAACTACACATCTGTTTGTTATATTTATGTCAACTACACGTATATTTATGGCGACCACACATGTATTTATGTCAACTACACATCTGTTTGTTATATTTATATCAACTACACGTATATTTATGGCGACTACACTTGTAACTATTGTATTTATGGCGACTACACATGTAACTATTGTATTTATGTCAACTACACATCTGTTTGTTACATTTATGTCAACTACACATGTAACTATTGTATTTATGGCGACTACACATGTAACTATTGTATTTATGTCAACTACATATGCATTTATATCAACTACACGTATATTTATGGCGACTACACATGTAACTATTGTATTTATGGCGACTACACATGTAACTATTGTATTTATGGCGACTACACATGTAGCTATTCTATTTATGGCGACTACACATGTAACTATTGTATTTATGGCGACTACACATGTATCTATTGTATTTATGGCAACTACATGGTAAGGCTAAATAAACTAATATGAGAAGTTGTTCACTTTATAATAATCACAATGTGATTTGCATTTATTACGTATTTATGGGATTTTATTAAATAATAGTCGACTTTTTCTAAAAGTTAAAATGTTTGGAATTAGTCCTTGCTACAAGTAAAAGTTCCTAATGGACTGTGATCCGACCTTCTGCCTAAATAAACACCCTTCTTATACTCGCTAGCCCTAAAACATATCAACACGATCCGTTAACTTCAGAAGCGAGGTAAGTGACCAGAGCTACTTACTTAACCCTTTGAAGCCTTTAAGCTCCCAAAGGCGCTATTTATTTACTAAGAGTCTCTGTTGCTTAAAGCCCGAAGGTTTTCTCGGCAGAGGAACTGCGATAGATGGCTAATTCTTTGATCTGTCTTCTAAACGGCCCGGCATGGCCAGGTGGTTAGGGCGCTCGACTCGCAATCTGAGGGTCGCGGGTTCGAATCCCCGTCACACCAAACATGCTCGCCCTTTCAGCCGTGTGGGCGTTATAACATGACGAGCAATCCAACTATTCGTTGGTAAAAGAGTAGCCCAAGAGATGGCGGTAGGTGATGATGACTAGCTGTCTTCTCTCTAGTCTTACACTGCTAAATTAGGGACGGCTAGAGCAGAGAGCCCTCGTGTAGCTTTGCGCGAAATGCAAAACAAACAAAAGTATCAGGTTTCGATATCCGCTGTGGACAGAAAACAGATAGCCCACTGCTTACTGTTGTGCTTATCAATAAACAATT